CGATACTGTATTTACCGAGAACTATAAAAGGATGAGGAAAATACAGTATCGGAGCGATTTCTTTGGATTAAATAAAAGACACATCAACTACATATCATCTCTTCCATCAGAAATCGTCACAGGTACACTTTGCAATTCGAAACACTGTAGCCGTCTACCAGAGTCCGAAACGAGGCGAAGCTTCGTCGAGGTGCCTCGCCTCCTACAATTGGGCATCATCCTGTTTTATTATTTAATTCAGAAGTTATGCTCAGTTTCTCTTTAGATGGCTTTGAATGACGAATGTATTTTGATTTCTTCTCCTGATCGGTCGAAACCTCTATCAAATACTTCTCACACTTCCAAATCATTTGAAACGCTTTTGAAAAATAATAAAGATGATTATAAAATTGTGAACAATCCAAGTAAACGATTGACAGCAACTTGTTGGAAATTATTTGGATTTCCTGCTCGAGTAATAGATGGAGATGAATTTGAAATCATTCCAGGATTTGCATCTTGTAAACAATGCTTTGAAACATTTCGACATGTTGGTAGCATACATGTAAAACTCGAAACTTGAATTCGAGTATTCTTGAGAGTGTGGGTGTTGGGTGGGGGAAGGTGATGGAGAGTATAATCTGTGTGAGGGTGCGGGGCAGAGTGTTGAGCAGGTATGGTGTACGTAGGGGTAAGTTACATGGTATTTGAGAGAAAGCATAGGTAAAAATATTTAGTAGAGCTCTCCGACACATTTACATGGAAAGTTGGGTTAGTGTTAAATAGAATAAAAGAAGGTTGTTGTGTCAGAAACCCTAATGTCCGATGGATAGGGATGCTGCATTTCGCTGTGTTCTTCGTCTATATGTATGTGTAGAGAAAAATGCTTCTCTGGTCGCTGTGCCTTTACTGCTTGTAATAGCTGACGTCGGCAAGCGTTCGACGGCATGTCCTGTGACTCATAGCAAAGTTCAGATCTATTTTCGTGCCGATGGCTTTCTGAGCGCTCGTATCCAAAAATCGAATGCTGGGCCACTCGAATAATTGAAAAGTTCAACTATTCAAGTTTAATACTCGAATACTCGAGGAGACAGTTGAATACTTGAATTCAAGTTTCGAGTTTGACACTACTGCCATTTCACACAAATGCATGAGAAATAGCGCAGATCCTGATTTGCATGGAACGAAACGGTCACTCATCGCTTCTACCACACCACCTTAGACAAAGACTACTGCATCCAAAAAATACCCTCAACATAATTGGGAAAAACTAAAACTTCTTCGAGTCTCAAAGTAAATGCAATTCGACAACACACAAGCAAATTCCTACATATACACCATCAAAACTAAATCTTCATTCCTATCCACAGAGTAAAAACACCGATCCTCCCAGGTCCCCGCTACCCGATTCCATCAGCACAGCAGATTCTTATTCAACGTTGAAATGAAGCTTCTTTCACTTCACAAGCCATGTAATAGCCAGAATCATGAGGCTCAATATCCAAACTACATCCCCCTTATATATAAAAACCTTCCACTTCAATCCTTCCAATAAATAACAAAATTCGACTTTGCCGTCAAATTCTCACCTCCCCCGCACATATACCGATGTCGACCAAATCTAACAATATACCCGTGAGCCTTTCGCCGTCTGACAACATCATTCCTGAGCATGACATCTCCTTTGTCACTGCGAAACACAATCTCTATTTCACGAAAAATTACGAACGATATCTACAACCGATCGTAAAAACGACTTCCCAGTTAAGATTCACACCCACAATCCATACATACCCAACTGCGCATATCTGCGAACATGGAGAAGAGCATTTCTACCTCTCGCAATTTGTATTTCAACCATCGAAATACTGATTCTGACTCGGAAGGAGAAGCTCTATTTGACGGGAAAACGCCAGAAACGATAGCTCCGATGGTCACGAACTTCGGATCCAAAATCGAAACTTTCATTTCCTCTGCAGCTACATGTGTGCATTGTATGTGCGAACATGGAGGAGAACATTCCTTCGTGTGAGGATATCTGTGTATAGGTGAAAATGTTGAATGCGATTTCGAATTAATTGCTCTGTGTGATGGTATAATTTTGGATGGAGGATTCTAGGATATACTAATAGATAGGATAAGAGAAAATTTCATTGTTGATATTCGCTACATGTTATGTATTTTTCATTTGGTGCGATCCGTACATACACTTTAGTGTGTGTATTTGGTTTTTGAACGTGAGTCAGATGGAGGTGGATGATTAGTTAGGATGAATATACTTGTGAAGGTGAAGATGCGACGTGTAATAATGGGCGGTCTGATAGCGACGGTATGGAATGGAAGGACATGATCTGTGCACGTATTATAGATTGTTATCACGATTGTGTTTGAAACTAATTTCAGTCATTTACTACTTCGGTTTGGTGAAGCTGGTTGCTCTTCTCTCTGTCGGAAGTCGCTCGGCATTCGTGTTGAATCGTCCCCTCTGGAATTAAAAAGTGTCATACTGTTTTGGATAAATTCCATTCATTGTAGTATAAGTTTTCAAAGTTGAGAAATGATGCGATTGACGAAATCAGTGGAGATGAATTCGAGGTTTAGATAGAATGTAGTATTTTTTTCTAATTGATTTCCTTTTCGTTTTGATTTAGTATGGGTCCATATGTTTCGAAAGTCTCAAACTATGATACGCAAATTATTACATATAATTGGTGTGATGCGGCTAAATTGCTTGAACAGATAACAGCTGTGATCAATGAAAAAGTTCGCAATGGAGTTCATAAACTTGTGAGCATACTTGCTGTTCACAATACCGTTATGCCCATTAACATGCTACTGCTTTCACTAATGATTGTTGCTATCGTTATCTGGTGTTTATTTCAGCATTGTCGAAGTACAGCTGTAGAGATAGATGTCATGGACGAACCATCGGCTTATTCGATCGATACTCCAGCATCGGCTAAAAAGTCTCCAGAAAAAAATAAAGATGGATATATAAAGTCTAATATCCTCGATGACATCGCGTCAAATGACATTTTTCTCTTGTTTGTGCATGCATTTCAATAGATTCATAGTTAGATTGTAGCTAGATGTACTGAGCATTGTTTCATTCCCTCGACTGAAAGGAGGGTCATGCCGAAAAAAGTGGTCCAAAAATCGAAATTCGCTTGTGAGTATGTCTGTCGCAGGTCAAAGGTCAAATTACATTTTTTTTGAAAATGTTCAAAACTTCATAAAACATGGTTTCGAAGGGTGTTTTGACACTGAAAGTTGGTTGAGAGGATGAGGACATGTGGGAGAGGGTCGATGTTAAACCTGCGTTGAGCCCCGAGGTCAACGGTCCATAAGAGAATTTCATTATGAGTGGAACAAAGATTAGGTAAAAGTTTTTTCATAACTCCAAATGTGCAAGGAAATGTATCATACATCGAAACTGAAAGATTCGTTCTCAGAATGTAATGTAACTTGTATTTGTGATAGTAGGAGAATTTCCTTCGAAACACAAGTCCAAAATACGATTCTGATATTTTTGCTTCTGTTGGTGTGACTATAGAAAACAGACAGCGAAGAATCTTGTATAAATTATTGTTAGTATTCGTTTTTGCTAGCATACCAAATCCCAAATTGGACACCAGAAGAGGATGTGTCTCACACTCAAGTATAATAATGCAGAGAAGAAAAGTAATGATCGTAGACTAAATGAACGAAATTTTGACATGACAACGTCTCTAGTGATTGATAATTTTGTTGGAAAGTGTTCAAGCAGGCATTGTTTAAATAAGTTGGATAGTCAGACTGAAAAATGGGAAGCGTGCGGAGCGGCGAGTCGTGAGTGGCGCCCCGTTGAGGCGTCGATGAACGACGAGCTGCTCCCGATGACGCTTTCTAGTTCACACTTAGAAACATTTTGACATCTTTGGCTTTGAAATTTACATGAACACTCATCTTTCTTCACTTAACTCTTCATTTTATTAGGAAAGGCAGAACACGTATAAGGTATGGTGCAGCAGCGCGACCGAAGATTTCTGCACCATTTTATTGTTTAGAATGTTAGATAATCTGTTAAATGTGTATTTTATAGAGAACCATTTCCTCTTCCAAGCTGTATGCTTTCAACGATACCATAAAACTTTCTTTTAGACCAGTGTCAAAAAGAAACCAAAGGGTTAGTTTTGAGCGAGCTGTACAGAGGCGAAATTCGCCCGATCATTTTGCTGGATTAGTCGAAGAGAGAGTGTTCTATTATGATCTAACCTATACAGTTCGATAGAGAAAAAGATTCTCTACAAAATGCACATTTAATAGATTATCTTATATTCGAATCAACGAAATAGTGCAGACATTTGCGGTTGGAACCAAAAACGTTTTTTGGTCGCGATGCTAGATCCTAGTTTGAAGATGCCTGTGATGATCTATAATACAAGAGATAATATACGATACGTGTATCCTGTATTGAATCGAAACAAATCGAATCTCTACTGTATGTTCCTCGTCCTTTCATAGTTTT